TTCGCCGCTTTTTCGATCAACAGGGTCAATCGTTCCAAGGTCAGCTGAAACCAGAAGCATGAGGACAGCATCAACTGCGAGAGGGGAACCCTGATAAAAGTATTAAAAAAAACATGCAACCCAAAGATAAACAATACCGTTATAGATTTTTGACCTCAAGTAACCTTTGAACATCGATCGCTTATTTTCATTTTTTTATTACACAATTAGGTGTGATGAACAACAGACAGAGTGAACCACATAGTCACGAGGACCTGCTGTTCAGTGGTGGAGACCGGCAACCTAGGTCCCAGCACCTGGAGTGGCGAACCACAAAAGGCCCCTATAAGTTAGGCGTGGTATTGAACCGGAAGACAGCCTACCACCAAAGTCGGGTGGCGGTGGCGGGGCTCATGTATTGGTACCTGAGATCTCACACACAAAACCAGCAACTAAGAGATGAGTTTTTCACCATAACGAAAAGTGATGACAATAAGAGGATAATATTGACCACTCTTGTTGAACATGATGTGATTATTCACCACCACAAGTAATTGCGCGTGTTGATAAACTGCAAAAGACATTCCAACACCACAACGGTATTCATTTCGGCGTCTGAGCAAACCCGCTCTGCACGAGTGTTTTCAAGTTTTCAGCATATGAAAAGACCAGTAGCCTCAATTCGAGTAAATGAAATGCATCACAAAAGCTGCCCTTTCTCTTACTAAGCTACCGCGCTCCAAAGTTTATTCTGTAGATTCCGAATGATTCTAGAGAAATCCCGTTAGAATAAACAGTTCAAATATTACTTGGTGCCGTTATATATGACTCCGCACGTCGGACGGGTGGTCCAGTGTGAAAACAATACAACACTTGTGGATGCGATCTCGCATCTGGGCTGTTAGAGCGTAGGCGGTATCCAAACGCGAATTCGGATATTATTGAATCTGCTCAATATGTCAATTGTTTACAACACCTTCGGCCACAACGACCTGGCTTGTACAAATATGTGTGTGTGCGTTGGAAAAAGGGTCGGGGATACGTACTTCGAATAGTTGAACCAGTTGATTGGGATCGTGCGGCCAAATTCGATCACCCATTCGATCCAGCATTGTGGCGGCCAGCATGGATGAGATCACAGCGGCCCGGGTCTGTTCGGGTGGCACCGAGGATTGGGGCGATTGAAGCATGACAGCAGGGTCTGTGGGGTTTGACGGTTCAATCAGTAGTCTGGATAAATTCTCGTTCAGATCCTGTTGTGGGTGGGTGGGTAGGTGTGTACGGAACAACTGGGTTAGAAGATACCACGGTAACATGGTAGAAAGCAAGGACATCAAATAAATCGGTACAAACAGATCCGACTGACTGCACCGACAAACGGTTCTCAGTTCTCCTTACCGTTGAGTGACGAGCGAAGCTTGGAACACGGTTTTCGTCATCATCATCAGCCAAGTTACACGTGACCTGTGGTGATGGTTTCTTAGACCGCTTCTTCTCGTAAGATGGTAACTACAGCGATTTATTCCCGGGCTGAATACTGTCCAGATCGATTTAATTTGTTTGTTCTGCGTGTGGGTGGGTGTGTGAGGGGACGCAGGANGGAGTGTTCGCCTACCAGAGGGCCTTCTTGATAAATGCACAAAACAGCATTGCTCCTAGAAGAGAACCGGTCAGCACTTTCATACTTGCCCACTGGTCATTGTGTGTGTGTGTGTGTGCGCGCTGTTTCATGAGACACGAAACAAAAGTTTTAAGACACGTTGGTTGGTTCACCAAAGATAGAATAGCTTGTTATTTGATCGTCCTAGTTCTGTCAATCGCTTCTGCATAGAGCTGCATTCTTCTCCCTCCACACTTTCTAATTCAGCTATGCACAAATTTAGTACAAGTTGGACTGCGTGAATCGAATTTCCTCATTAGATTCTATTCACGTTCAAACATCGTTCATCATCATCATCGTCACTCTGAGAGTGAAGAGAATGCACCATTTCTTTTACGCGTGATGTTTTGATTGGACAGAGAAATCCCTAACAATTGTTGGAAATAAATTTAAAAACTATGGCGTTTTTCATCCTCACCGACACACAACTGTGCTAAATCATTTCACGGGGATAATATAGGTGTTGACTAAACTCGTGCAAGATCACTCTCATTTTTGAAATAGGTTTCAGTTTGCAATATCATACTTGAACATTGATGACCGTGAGTAATGTGTATTTATTCCTGACTTTACCTCCCACTTCTATGTTCTTCGTTCACGCATATCATTGTTTGAATTTGAGCGACCTTGAGTGTGGCGATGAAATTTCGAGTAGTTCGCATTGGCAAACATTTTATGCTAAGCATCACGGAAATTCATTCTTTTCAACGACTGATTATTGTTTCATTAGACTGATCATGAAGCTGGATACACTTATTCTAAATTGCTGATCACTTTTGGATTCAATGTAGGAAAATAAGCCAATTATTGAGAATATTCTAGCCTTAATAAATTGATAAATTATTCGACTACAAACTACTCGTGCATTATCGCTAATACTGAAACAACTGCGAATATATATATTCCAGCAAACATACAAATAAGTTAGAAGGGAAGTAAATACTGAGCGCCTTGTTGTTGGTCTCCTGCACATACCGCACACCGCAAACCTTCGTGCGCTAATAAGGGAGGGTTTGATAACCGTCACTCCCAAAATGTATTCACGGAAATCATATTTTTTGCAGTTGGAGGTTAGTAAATCTTCTCACTTCGGGTTGGTAGTACAAAACGGTTGGACCTGAATAAGTATTATTTTTTAAAATTTATGCCGTTTCTAGATACAAGACTAATTTCGCTCAGCAGTTGGGATTTAAATTGAATCTACAACATTTCCCTGCTATAGAAACAGGGATAAATTAGCTGCCTCGACAGTGGTCGTCCGTTATTAGGGTGCGGCATTTATGAGAGGTAACTGGCAAATTCTGTTGGACAGTCAACCTGGTGAACTCCATGCAGAAGTAACTGCCTTCAGTGCCGAGACATGAAGAAGGACACATAACACATTGACAAGACGAAAGTATATTGCATGTATCAAGCCTATGAATCATTTTGATAAACAAATTCTAATTATGTCGAAGTTGTGGAAAGTTCAATAGCCTTGATAAGATTCGAATCCACGCATGGACGCCGCCTACGCTTTTGTACAGCGCACGCTCCATCAGCTGAACTACGAGGCTAAACCGATAGCACTGTACAGAATCATGGATGACGTCCATGCGCGGATTCGAATCCCACCGAGGCTACTGAACAAACATTTGAAAATGCTAATTGTTTTTTGCTGAGGCTACTTTATTTTCAACTAATGTACCAGCAACCGTCATTAAAATCGAGAAATCGTACATTTTAATGGCATTCGAATAATAGAAGGAGAAACGTAAGTAGATATTAGTACAGATACAATATCATATTCCATCCCAAGAACGAGGCTCGGGACACTAACATTGGAAGAAATACTCTGATGAAAGTCAGGGTGTTGCTCGAGCTTGATCAATACCTGTAGTTAAAAAAATCCGTTTTAGCGCACAAGGTGGGCGGGTTTCTCAGACAATGAGCGATATACGCGTTGTGTAAAATTTGACCGGTCAGAATTACTCGGTTGTCGACAAATTGCAGAAAGACCGGTACAAAGAACGTCATGCACAGAAAAATCAGCACGAAGACGTCATTGACACATCGTTCAGAACAATCTATGCTTTTTCATCCACTGGATGACTGAGATCGATAGATAGTCATGGCTATACACTATCGGATTTGAATAACGGTATTTTATTTGGTAGTCCTAAAAAACACCAATCAATTGAGTTTGGTACCCGATACAAATATCATAGTTAAACAGCTCAACACTCGAAGCCCTCCGCATGAACAACCTTCTCACCCTACCCCGTCCTTCCAACCCCGAGGGACGGGGGGCGTGAAATGGGTGGGCTCGCAGAGAGAACGATAGTCCCTGCGATTTCTAGTAAATGCCTATCAAGCACCGCGAAAACATGACTGTATCGACCAAGGATTAAGAGAACACGATGTAGAAGGTGCAAACTGGTGAGCTCCACAGGATGACTCGTGATGTTGCCTGTGTGATCGCAAACAAAGTGCCGAAGAAAGAGGCCAACGTATTCCAGATAGGATCCAAAGTTAGATGATCCAATCCAGGTCAGTACAGAAACAGCGGTCGAAATTACAAAATTACGCAATCAGCCATAGCTCGATATCTGATCACCCAAAAGCAGATCGACCGAAGCACGGAGTTTCGGATCATCAACACGTTACGAATCGCGAGAGATTGCCAAGGTTTATGAAAGCGATTGTTATAAACCGATGGACGCACCCCTCGTGTCAACAAAAAAGAACTTTGTCAGTTTGTCTTTACCCTGGTGAAATCATCTTGGACATAAATCAGGCAGTGCTGTGATATGGGCTTTTTTCCTTCTCTTTATCTTGACCTCGGGAAAGACTACCTTCAAATACTGAGGTGTGGTTAGACAAGACGGTTTGGAGTTTGTAGCTGGCAACGCTGTACATACGATTCCAAGGCAGTTTTTATTTATAATAGCGGATACATTAGTGAAGGCATTGCTTTGATATTCCATCGTGAGCAGTCAGGCTTACACAGGCTTTCTGAAAATGTCAGCTGAGCTGGTGATAAAACATTGGCTAACAGATTGCATGATTAAGGGTACGGGCTGGATCGGAATGTGAGAGTCCGTGTTTGCTATTTACAATTCATGATTCGATTGCACAAAAATTCTTGGTTGGAGTTCGAAGCGGTTGTCTCAAAGCTAAATAACAAGAGGGGGAGTATTTGAGCAGACATGAATGTACACTCTAGCTGAGTTGAGAATTGGAGAACCGGTGAAAAATCAAAAACGGGAGCACTTAAACAGATTGTAATACGGCTAACACGTGACCCAATCGACTTATAACACGTGTTCCCGAAATTAGTTCTCAACCGAATTCCATCAGCTTACTGTAATGAGACTGAGGAACAGATCTGACGACAGACAGGAGACAGGTGCAGCGGACGAGTCCGGATTGGTTTGCAAAACACGGAAAACAGTTTCAAACGAGGGCACTGGGACCCCAGTTCTATCTTCACCTTCGTCACACCCCGGGGATGTGGTGGTGCTGGGAGTATTGGGCGGAGGAGCTATTTGATTCAGTACACACAGAACCGATTCGATCAGTGCGGATAAACCGTCCGGATGCTCAAACCAATCCGGTGATTCGTGCGTCAGCACACACCGATAAGGCACTGAGGCATAGCCGATCGAGTCCGTCTGATTTTCTACTGAATCGGTGGTCGAATTTTCAGAGAACTCAAGAACCGGTCGTGGTGGTCGGAATCGAAGACGAGGATGACAAGCCAGTGGTGTCGGTACACCGCATGGATTGGACAAAGTCAACAGTGCCCACGTGCGTAGAACAGACACTCGCATTTCTCTTGTATCCAATCCCGTGTGGAGAAGTTG